CTTAGGAATCAAAATAAACCCTCCAGGAAGAAGTAAATCTGGCTAGTGATTTATCATTTTAATGGAGGTCTCATAGTATTCATCACCAACCACAGATGAGGAAGCTCGAGCTGGTCCTACGTTCCCCACCCCTCTGGCTCCACCATCCTCAGCCTACCTACCCAGGTAACTTTCCCCTTCGTCCTGTCCCCGCATCTTGAGTGGGGTGGGTTTTCACATTTTTCCCTGCAGCTAGTAATCTGTAAATCGGGTCATGAAATAACCTTGGGTAAATGGGTGGGACAGACCCAAAGGCCTCAGAGATGCTGCTGTGAAACAGAAAATTTCTTCTCTCCCTCCTTCCCTCCCTCTCTCTCTCTTTGTATTTTTCTCTCTCCCTCCCTCCCTCTCCTCCCACCCTTTCTTCGCCAGTATGTGGTGAAAACCTTCCATCCACAGCCTCCCAGTCAGGCCTTCTCAGGTGCCCCTGGGAGCCCCTGCCTGTGCCGTGCATTTCCCTGACCAGGGGCCTGACCCCGGGGACTGGAGAGTATGGCCCTCTCTGTGAGGCTGCTTAGGAGACAGTAATTACCTTGGCCATAGTGGGCAGCCAGTGGCTCCCACTGCCCATGAGGGGGTCACCCTAAGGTGGGACTGGCTCGAATAAAAGTGGGGGCCTGACCTGGCTCTCAGGCCTCACAGGCTGCAGAGGGGTCCTGGGAAATGTGAGCCGGAGCTCCTCACCTTTCTGAGCAGAACCTTCTTGCTGTCAGGCTCCAAGATGCCTTTGTTTAAATGGGGGTTCTTGGTGCAGGGTCCAGGTAAGAGGGTGTCTTAAGTTAAAGGAAGCTTACTGGGAGCTGTGCTCTGGGCTCTTGACCCTCTGAACCTCACCTTTGTCTGTGAAAGGGCGGAAGAGTCAAAGCACTTATGTGAACAAGCCTGTGCGGAGTAGGCCCTCCCGGCCCAGCAGTGCCTCTGGGGGGTGGGGGGCACAGTGCCTGACAGGAGGACTGAGCCCAGGTTTGCAGACTGCCAGGCCCTCTGTGGGCCTGCGTGGGGAGGTCTGAGGCCCCATTTCCTGGCTGTGCAGGTGGCTGCCGTGGGGCAGTGAGACCCACTGCTGTACCAGGGGAAGCCTGAGGCCCTCGGTACAAGGGCTAGGACCCTGAACAGCTCTGCTCTGTGTGGCCTGGAGTGCAGCTCAGGAGCCTGCCTATCCCTGGCCCAGAGGCCGGGAAGACCAGCCTCAGAAGTCCTCACCAGAGAGGGGTGCTAGCGGGTCAGGTGCTCATAAGACACGACTTTCCTCCCTCCCTCCTGGTGTTGCAAGAACTTGAGAGATGAGTCCTTGGCCAGGTCTCCAGGAGAAGAGGCAGGTGGCGAGGCCGGGCTAGACCAGAAAGGGCCCCAGGAGAATCCAGCTGCCCTCTCCCACCCTCCAGCCGAACCCACAGAGGCCAATCCCAGTCTGTCCCCCTCTGCCCCCTTCTCCCCTCAGGTTCAAAGGCCGCCAGCTCTGCTAAGGGGCCTTTTTCTGTCCCCCTTCTAATGCTGCCCATCCCTGCCTCCTGCCTGTCTCTCTTCCCCTCCTAGTCCTTTCCTGCTCTTGAAAAGTAATCATAAGCATAGTAATTAATAACAACGGAGCCTGTGGCAGGCCTGAGGCAGCTCTTAAAGAGGCAGAGCCCCTTTTTCTCTTGGCAGAGCTGGTGGGACCTCCTTGGCTCTGAGGTGGCCTGCGATGCCCTGTCTTTGTTTCTGCAGCCCTCCCTCCCCTGCTCCGCCCCCCTACCTGGGGTTGGAGGGTGGTGTTGGGGTGGGCATTTTTGCCTGTATTCTCCATCAGGCACTGGGCTTCTCGTATTTTAATTGAACTGTCTTTTCTTAGAGATAGATGTGTTCACCGCGTCCAGCTGCTCCGTGTGTATTGGGAAACCCGCCTGTAATACAACTCAGCTAAATTAAAAGACGCAGCAGCTGGACTGATTAAATGGGGAGGGGAAGGGACACTGGTCATAGCACTCTCTCCTTTTAAATAATGTTTCTGGTAATGCATTTTGGAGAATGTGAAAAAAATAAAAAATTTTAAAAAGCTGTAGAAATGTTAATGATATCCACAGGACACTCAGGAGGAAATGAGAGCGATCTGGGACTAATAAAAGCCAAAATGTAATTTGTGCAGATATAGGAGGCAGTTTTCAGAGTAGGCCTGGGTTCGTACATTCCAGGCTCAAAAACACAGGCTGGGGAGGGTGGGTCTCAGCATTGGAGTGGGGGAAGCAGGCCTGTCCTCCCCAGGACTGCTTCTGACCCTGCCAGCCTAGGGCACCCTAAATAGAGGTGGCCTCCACCTGCCATCCAGGGTGAGGACAGCACAAGAGGTGCCTGCATGCACCTGCCCTGCCCATTTGCTCTGCCCAGGGGTGGCAAGGGGCCACCCTGAGGCCTAGGGACCCTCTTCTGCAGGGCTGCCTACCTGGCACGGAGCCACCAGCCAGAACCCAGTGCTGCCTCCAGAGCCTCCAGTTGGCTGTCGCAGCAGGCTCTCCTGTAATGTTTGATCCAAGCCGCCAGGGATGGGAATGAAGTGGGTCAGGAGGGCGGGCGCGGTTCTCCTTGCTGGGGATGTCTGTGATGAATCCAGGCAGAGGTGGGAGGGAAGACTGCCAGCTGCAGTAGGTTGGCCTGGGGCCTGCTGGCTTTGACAAGCCAGGGGCTCACCTGGTGGGACACTGGCCCCCACCCCTCTCCGCAACCAGGACGTTTCCACCCCTGAGTTAGGGCCAGCTGACTTGCCAGGGCAGGGGTGTGTGCCTGGGCTGTGCTACCAGGGATCCTGGGGGCTGTCTGGCTGCCCTGGGCCTGCACTGCTCAGCTGGATGTAGCCCCTCCTCTGTCCCCCACTCCTCTCTCTGTGGCTTTTCCTTTCTCTCATCTGTTTCCTGTGTGCCTCTTGATCCTTAAACACAGGCTGGGGAGGGTGGGTCTCAGCATTGGAGTGGGGGAAGCAGGCCTGTCCTCCCCAGGACTGCTTCTGACCCTGCCAGCCTAGGGCACCCTAAATAGAGGTGGCCTCCACCTGCCATCCAGGGTGAGGACAGCACAAGAGGTGCCTGCATGCACCTGCCCTGCCCATTTGCTCTGCCCAGGGGTGGCAAGGGGCCACCCTGAGGCCTAGGGACCCTCTTCTGCAGGGCTGCCTACCTGGCACGGAGCCACCAGCCAGAACCCAGTGCTGCCTCCAGAGCCTCCGGTTGGCTGTCGCAGCAGGCTCTCCTGTAATGTTTGATCCAAGCCGCCAGGGATGGGAATGAAGTGGGTCAGGAGGGCGGGCGCGGTTCTCCTTGCTGGGGATGTCTGTGATGAATCCAGGCAGAGGTGGGAGGGAAGACTGCCAGCTGCAGTAGGTTGGCCTGGGGCCTGCTGGCTTTGACAAGCCAGGGGCTCACCTGGTGGGACACTGGCCCCCACCCCTCTCCGCAACCAGGACGTTTCCACCCCTGAGTTAGGGCCAGCTGACTTGCCAGGGCAGGGGTGTGTGCCTGGGCTGTGCTACCAGGGATCCTGGGGGCTGTCTGGCTGCCCTGGGCCTGCACTGCTCAGCTGGATGTAGCCCCTCCTCTGTCCCCCACTCCTCTCTCTGTGGCTTTTCCTTTCTCTCATCTGTTTCCTGTGTGCCTCTTGATCCTTTCAGGTCCCTCCCATAACCCTGAAATCTTATAGCCAGAGGCAGGCCACCCCATCCTCGTTCAGGTTGGGCAGCGGGGAGGGCCTGGGCGTTGCAGGCTGAGCTGAGTCTCCTCCCTCTTCCTGCCTCTTGGCCCACCCTCCGGTGTGGCTGTGGGTAAGTCCTGCTCCCTGTGGGACTCAGCCGATAGCCAGCCCCTCGCAGAGCTCGATTCATTCTGAGCCTGGAGTGCTCCTTGCTCCGCCCTCCCTTCCTCCTCTGCATCTTCTGGAGCGACGGCGCCCCCAGTCAATCGGCGGCCGGGACCTTTCGCCTGGACGTTGCAGGCTGGCCTGTTTTGTGAATCTTGTTGCTGTGCCCTGAAGGACCCCCCAACCCCACCCTGGGGTCATTTCCTGACCAAGGATCCTGCTTTGAGTCAGGTTAGACCCTGCCCGGGCCCCAGGCCCTACAATCATAAACAGATGGGCTTTCTGCCTGGTGTGCCCTGGTCCTGACCCTGGGGAGATGGGAGGGGCCAACCGGAGGCCAAAGCGGCTTCGCAGGGCACTCCGCAGCCAAGGGACTGCAGCTCTGCCCCCACCAGCATGCATTCCCTCACTCTGGGCCACAGTAATCTGTTTACGCACCTATGATATCAAAAACAGAGGTGAGGCTGTCCTGTGTTCCTGGGAGTCAGAGAAGGCGACGTTTTATGCCTATAGTGGCTCAGCAGCCCCTGATCAACATCTGCTAGAAGCAACAGACAGACTCCAGATTGCATGGCAGTGGTAGAGGAGGGGTGTGTGTGTGCCCGTGCCCCCGTGCCTGAGGTTGGCCTTGGTGAGTGGCTTTTCCGGGCAGGGCCAAGCCTTCCTCAACCCTGGCATGGCTGGGACTAGATGACAGGATCCAGCAGCCCCTGGAGACAGGGGAGCAGGAACTGCTCTGCTAATGACTCTGAACGCTCAGGGAAGGGCTGGGAATGATGAAATGGGGGGTGGAGGGAAGCAGCGGGGCCAGGAGCAGGGTGGGGTGGCAGCTCTCCTTGGCGGTAGCGCCCTGATGCTGGGCAGCAAGGCCTGCGCCGCCCAGGGTGGTGGCCATCCTTGCTTGGCAAGGCTCGCTGCGGGCAACATCAGAGCAGGAATTACAGAGCACACCTCCCTGACACAGAAGTTGTCAGTATGTGCACAGCTGGTGGGGAGGCTTGGGCAAAGGGGAGGCTATTAAGAGCTGCAGGGAGAGGGGAGGACAGGGAGAGGGGAAGGCAGGCTTCCTGAGAGAAAAGGAAATGGCCCGTCTGAATTGCTTTCTCCCCTCCCTTCCCCACTCCCTTCTCTTTTCACAGATAACCAGCCCAAGTCATGCAGTCTTTTCGAGAAAGGTGTGGTTTCCATGGCAAACAGCAGAACTACCAGCAGACCTCACAGGAGACATCTCGCCTGGAGAATTACAGGCAGCCAAGCCAGGCGGGGCTGAGCTGCGACCGGCAGCGGCTGCTGGCCAAGGACTATTATAACCCACAGCCCTACCCTGGCTATGAGGGCGGAGCCTCGCCTGCCAGCACGGCCCGAGGTGGCAAAGGCCTGCTCTCACAGCAGGCCCTGCAGGGGAGGCCAGCCTTCTCCGGCTACAGCGTCCAGGACAGCAGCCCTTACCCAGGCCGGTACTCAGGCGAGGAGGGCCTGCAGGCCTGGGGTGCCCCCCAGCAACCCCCACCCCAGCCCCAGCCCCTGCCAGCGGGCGTGGGCAAATATGATGAGAACTTGATGAAAAAGACAGCAGTGCCCCCTGGCAGGCAGTACCCAGAGCAGGGCGCCCAGCTGCCCTTTCGGACTCACTCCCTGCACGTCCAGCAGCAGCTGGCACAGCCCCAGCAGCCCCTGGCATACCCCAAACTCCAAAGGCAGAAACTGCAGAACGACATAGCCTCGCCTCTGCCCTTCCCTGCGAGCGGCCACTTCCCCCAGCACTCCCAGTCCTTCCCCACCTCTTCCACCTATTCGTCCCCTGGCCAGGGTGGGCAGGGGGCCCACTCCTATAAAAGCTGCACCGCACCATCCACCCAGCCCCACGACAGGCCGCTGACTGCCAGTGCCAGCCTGGCCCCAGGGCAGCGGGTCCAGAACATCCATGCCTATCAGTCTGGCCGCCTCAGCTACGACCAGCAGAAGCAGCAGCAGGTACTTCAGAGCCGGCACCATGCCCAGGAAACCCTCCATTACCAAAACCTTGCCAAGTACCAACACTATGGGCAGCAAGGCCCTGGCTACTGCCAGCCAGACGGGGCTGTCAGGACGCCGGAACAGTACTATCAGACCTTCAGCCCCAGCTCCAGCCACTCACCTGCACGCTCTGTGGGCCGCTCCCCTTCCTACAGCTCCACCCCATCGCCACTGATGCCCAACCTGGAGAACTTCCCCTACAACCAGCAGCCGCTCAGCACCGGGGCCTTCCCTGCTGCCATCACTGACCACAGCCACTTCATGCCCCTGCTCAACCCCTCCCCAACAGATGCCACCAGCTCCGTGGACACCCAGGCCGGCAACTGCAAGCCACTGCCCAAGGATAAGCTCCCGGAGAACCTGCTGTCAGACCTCAGTCTGCAGAGCCTCACGGCCCTGACCTCCCAGGTGGAGAACATCTCCAACACAGTCCAGCAGCTGCTGATCTCCAAGGCTGCTGTGCCGCAGAAGAAGGGAGTTAAGACCCTGGTGTCTAGGACCCCAGAGCAGCACAAAAGCCAGCACTGCAGCCCCGAGGGCAGTGGCTATTCGGCTGAGCCGGCAGGCACGCCACTGTCAGAGCCACTGAGCAGTACGCCGCAGTCCACCCATGCCGAGCCGCCAGAGGCCGACTACCTGAGTGGCTCCGAGGACCCACTGGAGCGCAGCTTCCTCTACTGCAGCCAGGCCCGCAGCAGCCCTGCCAGAGTCAACAGCAACTCGAAAGCCAAGCCTGAGTCCGTGTCGACCTGCTCTGTGACCTCGCCGGACGACATGTCCACCAAGTCTGATGACTCCTTCCAGAGCCTGCACAGCAGCCTGCCACTTGATAGCTTCTCCAAGTTTGTGGCCGGAGAGCGGGACTGCCCGCGGCTGCTGCTCAGTGCCCTGGCACAGGAGGACCTAGCCTCTGAGATCCTGGGGCTGCAGGAGGCCATTGGTGAGAAGACTGACAAGGCCTGGGCTGAGGCGTCTAGCCTGGCCAAGGATGCCAGCAAGCCGCCCTTCTCACTAGAGAACCATAGTGCCTGCCTGGACTCTGTTGGCGATAACGCATGGCCGCGGCCAGGGGAGCCAGAAGCCCTGCCCCAGTCCTTGCAGCTGGACAAGGGTGGCAACGCCAAGGACTTCAGCCCGGGGCTGTTTGAAGACCCTTCCGTGGGCTTTGCAACCCCTGACCCCAAAAAGACAACTGGTCCCCTCTCCTTTAGTACCAAGTCCACCCTCGAGGCTGCCACCTCAGACCCCTCCGTGGCAGCTTTTGACTGTTTCCCGGACACGACCACTGCTGGCTCAGCAGACAGTGCCAACCCCTTTGCCTGGCCCGAGGAAAACCTGGGGGATGCTTGTCCTCGGTGGGGGCTTCACCCTGGTGAGCTCACCAAGGGCCTGGAGCAGGGCGGGAAGGCCTCCGATGGCACTGGCCAGGAGAATGCCCACGAGGCCGTGGCCTGCCTGGGTTTCCAGGAGGAGGAGCCCCCTGGGGAGAAGGCTGCTGTGCCCCGGGACTCCAAGCAGGAGGAGGCGGGTGGGGTGAAGGAGGAGGTGGGTGGGCTGCTGCAGTGCCCTGAGGTGGGCAAGGCCGACCGGTGGCTGGAGGACAGCCGGCACTGCTGCTCGGCCGCGGACTTTGGGGACCTCCCTCTGCTGCCGCCCACGGGCAGGAAGGAGGACCTGGAGGCAGAGGAGGAATACTCCTCCCTGTGTGAGCTCCTGGGCAGCCCTGAGCAGAGGCCCAGCATGCAGGACCCACTGTCACCAAAGGCCCCACTGCTGTGCACTAAGGAGGAGGTGGAGGAGGTGTTGGATGCCAAGTCTGGCTGGGACTCCCCGTGCCACCTCTCTGGGGAGTCTGTCATCTTGCTGGGCCCCACAGTCGGTGCTGAGTCGAAGGTCCAGAGCTGGTTTGAATCTTCCCTGTCCCACATGAAGCCAGGTGAAGAAGGGCCCGAGGGTGGTTCCACCACCCTGGCCCCAGACACCTCCCTGGCCCAGAAGCCAAACAAGCCCGCTGTGCCTGAGGTGCCCATCGCTAAGAAAGAGCCTGTGCCACGTGGCAAAAGTTTACGGAGCCGGCGGGTGCACCGGGGGCTGCCTGAGTCCGAGGACTCCCCGTGCAGGGCCCCAGCACTGCCCAAAGACCTCCTGCTCCCTGAATCCTGCACAGGTGCCCCCCAGGGACAGATGGAAGGGGCAGGGGCCCCAGGCCGGGGGGTCTCAGAAGGGCTCCCCAGGATGTGCACCCGCTCCTTCACAGCCCTGAGTGAGCCCCGCACACCAGGCCCCCCAGGCCTGACCACCACCCCCACCCCACCAGACAAACTGGGAGGCAAGCAGCGAGCTGCCTTCAAGTCAGGCAAGCGGGTGGGGAAGCCCTCACCCAAGGCTGCATCCAGCCCCAGTAACCCGGCCGCCCTGCCTGTGGCCTCTGACAGCAGCCCCATGGGCTCCAAGACCAAGGAAACAGACTCTCCTGGCACCCCCGGCAAAGACCAGCGCTCTATGATCCTTCGGTCCCGCACCAAAACCCAGGAGGTCTTCCACGCCAAGCGGCAGCGGCCCTCAGAAAGTCGGCTCCCCAACTGCCGCACCACCAAGAAGCTCCTCGCCAACAGCCACCTGCCCACCACATTCAAGGTCTCTGGTAGCCTCCAGAAGGAAGGCAGGGCCAGCCCACGGGCGAGGGTCCCCAAGCCTGGTGCAGGTGGCAAGCTTTCTGACCGGCCCCTCCACACACTGAAGAGGAAGTCGGCCTTCATGGCACCGGTTCCCACAAAGAAACGGCATCTGGTCTTACGTAGCAGCAGCACTGGTGGCAGTGGGGTGGATGTGAATGAAGAGAGGGCTGAGGGCTCGCCCACCTTCTTCAAAAGGATGTCTTCTCCCAAGAAGACCAAGCCCAGCAGGGGTAACAGTGAGTCCACTGTGAAGCCGCCTCCCCTGGAGACCCCGGACGCCTGCCTGAAGCTTGCCTCGCGAGCAGCCCTCCAAGGGGCCGTGAAGACCAAGGTGCTGCCACCCCGGAAAGGCCGGGGCCTGAAGCTGGAGGCCATTGTGCAGAAGATCACCTCACCCAGCCTCAAGAAGTTCGCATGCAAAGCGCCAGGGGGCCCTCCCAGTCATCCTCTGAACCCATCCTTCCCTGAGAGGGACCGTGGGCTCAAGAGTGCTGGGGGCAGCCCAGCGGGGGCAGAAGAAGGCCTCATAAATACGGGTGCTGGGCAGAAGCTCCCAGCAGCTTCAGGACCTGAGCTGTTATGCAGAAATCCAACCAACAGATCCTTAAAAGGCAAACTCATGAACAGTAAGAAACTGTCTTCAACTGACTGTTTCAAAACTGAGGCCTTCACACCCCCCAAGGCCCTGCTCCCTGGGGGACCTGCCTTGGCACCTAAGAAGAGAAGCCGGAAAGGCAGGGCTGGAGCGCCCCTGGAGAAGCGGCCTCATCTAGGCCCGAGTCTGCACCTGACTTCCCAGGACACACAGGGGGATGGCGAGGACAGCTCTGGGGGAGGAGGCAAGAAGCCAAAGACAGAGGAACTGGGCCTGGCCTCCCAGCCCCCAGAGGGCCGGCCTTCCCAGCCCCAAACGAGGGCACAGAAGCAGCCAGGCCACGCCAGCTACAGCAGCTATTCCAAGCGAAAGCGCCTCACGCGGGGCCGGGCCAAGAATAGCACGTCCTCACCCTGTAAGGGGCGTGCCAAGCGGAGGAAGCAGCAGGTGCTGCCCCTGGATCCCGCAGAACCTGAAATCCGCCTCAAGTACATTTCCTCATGCAAGCAACTGCGGGCAGACAGCCGCACCCCGGCCTTCTCACCCTTCGTGCGGGTGGAGAAGCGAGATGCGTTCACCACTGTATGCACTGTCATCAACTCCCCTGGGGAGGAGCCCAAGCTCCACAGGAAGCCTTTCTCCTCCACCTCCTCTTCCTCATCCTCATGCTCTTTCTCCCTGGACACACTCCCTGGAGGCTCTGTCCTGCAGCCACGGCCCTCCCTGCCCCTCTCCTCCACCATGCACCTGGGGCCTGTGGTTTCTAAGGCCCTGAGTACCTCTTGCCTTGTTTGCTGCCTCTGCCAAAACCCAGCCAACTTCAAGGACCTCGGGGACTTGTGTGGGCCCTACTACCCTGAGCACTGCCTCCCCAAAAAGAAGCCAAAACTCAAGGAGAAGGTACGGCTGGAGAGCACCTGTGAGGAGGCCTCGCTGCCCCTCGAGAGAACACTCAGAGGCCTGGAGTGTCCAGCTGCCCCCGGGAAGCCCCCCAGGCCCGAGGGCCTGGCTGACCCAGCCAAGCAGGGCTCACTGCGCACCAGCACCCGGGGCCTGTCCCGGAGGCTGCAGAGTTGCTACTGCTGTGACGGTCGGGCAGATGGTGGCGAGGAGGCAGCCCCAGTGGACAGGAGCCGCAGGCATGAGTGCAGCAAGGAGCCACCTGCAGAGCCCAGCAGGGACCCCCAGGAGCACTGGGTGCACGAGGCCTGCGCTGTGTGGACGGGCGGGGTCTACCTGGTGGCCGGGAAGCTCTTTGGGCTGCAGGAGGCCATGAAGGTGGCCATGGACATGGTAAGGGGCCAGCCCAGCCAGGGTGGGTGGTTGGGTCCTACAAGACACGCAGGCGGGCAGGAAGCCCTCTCATCTCTCCAGCGCTACGGTTTAGGCCGAACGTACCCACAACCACAAACTGAGATCTGGGAGCTTGCAGGAAAGGTTGAAGCACAGCCCAGGCGGAGGCAGAACACACCCACCCATCCCATTCTGGACTTGCCCCAGACATCCCACTGCCACCCTCCGGGCCTGCACAAACCCTCACCTGGCACCTTTCAGCTCCAGCCCCACCCAGTCCACCTGACTCCCAACCCCCATATCAGCTGAGATGCCGAGGCTGCAGAGGACAGGGAGCCTCCCAGAACAGAATGTCAGGGCTGCCAGAAAAGCAGGGCATTCCACTCTGCAGCTCCTGCTCCCCTGGCTTCTGAGATGGAGCTGGGGTTTAGGGAGGAGCCTCAAACAGTGTGTGGTGTCCCCTCTGGCAGGATGGCCCCAGAGTCCCCTGCCATCCCCAGGCAGGGTGGGCCTGGAAGCCTCCCATACATGGTCCTAAAATACCCCTTGAAGGACCCCAGTCACTGAGGTTCAGATCCCAGCACGCCCTCCTTGCTGTGTGACTCTGGGCAATGGGACTTAACCTCTCTGTGCCTCCATTTCTTTATCTTAATTTGGGCATGATAGTTCCCACCTCGGAGGGGCAGCGAGGAGTCAGTGAGTGAACGCCCAGGAAGCTATCAGAGCCATGCTGGCCTGTCTGGCGTGCTCCGTGATTGTCTGCTGCCCACGTTTCTGGTCAGGACCAGTGGTGCTAGCGGTGTGACTCGCTCCAACTCCCACAGCGGTGTCCTCACTCTCTCTCCTGAGGGGTGCAGAGGGTGAGCAGCTAGGCCAGTCCAGGCCCCTCGGACTTGTCTGGGCAGCAGAAGGTGCCTGGGTCCGTTGGGTGGGTGTCAGTATTTTCTCGCTGGAGCCCATGCTCCGGCCCCCACCCCACTCCCCACTTGGCCACTGCATGGCCCCACCAGGCTCCTGTGCAGGGCAGCTCCTCGGCCCTGGCTCTGGGAGCCCGCACCCTCACCCACTCTGCCCACCCTCCATGCCAGCCCTCCCACTGCCTGTGTCCCCGCTCTTTCTCAGTCCCCCCACCGCTCTGACCAGCCCTCCCCCTCTCCCGCCTCCTCTCCTCCCAAACGCAGTCTCAGTCAGATTGCAATCTCTCTTCTCTGGAGCCACCCTGAAACAGGTTCAAGTCTGTCCCAGCATTACAAATAATACTGACCCCACCGGGCTGCCACCCCTGCCGTTCACACCAGTGGGTAGGGGCCCCTGAAAGCATCTGCTCTATGCTCTCCGTGAGCCCCACTCCAGCGCACTCCCCTCCCCCACCCACCCCTCACCCCGCATTCAGGGCCTTCCCTGCCCCTGCTCTGGGCCTGCAGGGATGCTGCGCCCTTCTCTGAGAGAGGGGCCTGGATCCCGCCCCTTCTGAGTCCCTTGCACCCTGCCCTGGCCTCAGTGGGGAGGAGGCTGCAGTGAGTGTGGGTTAAGCCATGCACCTCCCCAGCCTCTTCAGGGTGCTCTGGTCTCACCTTGCTAACCTGCAGAGTCCTGCTGGACTGAGGAGAAAGCCAGGGGTCAGAGTGGGGCTGCTTTCCTGACATCACACAGCTGTTAAGAGCTGCAGCTAGAACTTGGCTCAGTGGGCCCATCTCCGCCCTCTGCTGTATTCCAAAAGTGACCTGGTGGCCTCCCACCCCTGGGGGGCATCCCTGGGGTCAGGATGCAGCCAGGCAGTTGGGGGGCAGGCATTTGCCTCTCACCAACAGCAGCTCCCTTCCTCACCCAAGATGGCCCAGGCAGGCTGTAGAGGGTCTCCCTGACAGAGGGATGGCCCTGGGGGGTGAGCCTCAGGGACCCAGGAAACCAGCAGCAGCCCCTGGAGCCGCAGCCGTGCCTCCGGACAGCTGGGACAGGTCAGGGGCTTGGGCTGCCCTGGTCGTGGTTTGGCCCCCGCCCCTCTGGACAGCACAGGCCTCCTCAAGGCTCCCTCTTCCTGCTGAGGTCCCTTCTTGCCTCTGCAGCCTGGGGGCAGCGCACTCCCTTGGAATTATGCAGAACCCAGTTCAAATCCCAGCTTTGCTGAGGCTGGGTCCCATGCCCCCACAAGTCACTGCCTATTGTGGGCCTCAGAATGCCAAACCCCATTTGGGCTGTGGGGCTCTGCACAGCTGAGTGCCAGCAGGCATGGGCTCCCAATGGAGCCTCACTTTGGTTCGTGGTGAACAGAGCTGTACTGTCTCCAGGGACAGCCCTCTTTCTCCTCTGCCCCTCCTGGGAACCCACACACAGCCTGCTGTCCTTGGGCCCCACCCTGCCCACCTCCTGGGAGCAGAGGTGCCCAGTTTGCCCCTGGCACAGGACTGCCGTCAACCCCACATCCCACCCAGGGGAGGCCTGGTGCCGGCAATGCTGAGGGCGCAGGTGTGTGCTTAGGAGGAGCCAGGTAGTGTCTGTTTGGCTTTCCGGTTTGAGTTCCTCCGCCAACCTGGAATCCTTTGGCAAATTCTCAAGCCACTCCCCCGTTAGGGTAGCAGGGGGTTGAGGTCTAAGTCCAGTGCTGGGATCGGAAGGTCCTGAGGCCTGTCTCTCTCTACCTCCTTTCACATCTAAAATGCCTGCCTCGAGGGTTGTTGGGGAACCTCAGCGCAGGGGAGGTGGCTTTTGGCCATGACCCTTGACCCTTTAACCATCAAAACATCTGAGGATGGCCTACAGCTGGGCATTTGGGCCTGGCCTGGGAGCAGCCATGCTTCATCTCACTCTTGTGGGCCCAGACTTGGCGGACGTTGGGCCCCGGGGCCCCATGAGATCTCAGCCCTAACTAGAAGGAAACTGCCCCTCCAAAGCACTGTGTGGAGGCCCAATGCCCAGGGTGTGCCCCAGTCCCTACCCCACGCTCTCTGCTCCTAGCTCAGTGCCAAAGGCAGCATTCTCGCATTTCTTAGTCTGGGCCCTGGAAGGAGAGAAACTTTCTTTCCTGGCCTCTGCCAGCTGCTGGAGGTGGGGTCTCCCTCCGTCCTGGAGTCCTGGAGCCCAGGGTGGAGTCTGCCCCTGCCCCGAGCAGGAAGGGGTAGTGATTGCCAGCCTGTACTCCCGTTGGGCGACTGGGCTACTCATGAGCTGTGTGCCTCTGGCAGGTTGCTCAGCCTTTCTGAGGTCTCACTGGTAACCTGGGAAACTTCTACCTTCATAAGGTTATTAGGAGGAGGCAGCTTCCAACCAGGCCTGGCACACTGTAAGCTGTCACTTTATCTCTGTGGCTTAGCATCTGGGCATGGGCTTACCACCCACTCTCCTTCCCTCCTGCACCTGGGTCCCCTGGACCCGCCCAGCGAGGGCTGTAGGTCTGGGGTCTGCGCATGTTAGGGCCCAGCCTGTCCCTCTCCAGGCCTTAGGGCTCACTTTGCTCCTCAGAGGGCCTTCTGGGCATTGCCATCATGTCTGGCCATGTCACTCTCCGGGCAGCTGGGTCAGCCCCCAAATTCAGCCAACCATGAGACCCAGAGCAAGCTGGCCACCATGCCAGACAGTGTTAAGATTTACACTCACTCAGCATCTCCGGACTGGCTGTGTCGTCTCCGTGGATATAGGGAGGGCGAATGGGCCACCCCAGCTGGAACACTGTAGCTCCAGGCTCAGCCCTACTCTGATGCTGGAAAGAACACAAGGCTTACCACCTCCACTCTCGCCTGGGGTGGTAGCCTGTTTCACCGTCTGTAAAGTGGGGCTCATGGAAGTTACCTGCCTCGAGGGCTTTTGGGAGAAGCCGGTGGGTGAGGACACATCCGTGGCCTGCACGCAGAGACCTCTGCCGGCGCTGGCTGGTATCCATAGCCACAGCTGTGACTGGCATCCTGAGTTCTGGTCGTCTGCTGGGCACACAGTCTCCCCTTTATTCATCACCACTATCCCCTGGTGGAGGCACAGAGACTGACCGTCAGTGAAGGTCGCTCAGTGCAGTGGCCTGTGCGATGCCCAGACCCATGTGCTCATCCAAGAGGCGGTCATTTCCTTGCCTCAAGAGGGTTCCCCCATCCCAGGCGCTGCCACAGAATCGACCCTGTGGGCATTTGCACCCCCACCAAGCTTCCTTCCAGTTGATTTTCAGGGACAGTTTTTGGGAAATGAGGGGGCAGCCACATGGGACCTGTCTGTGAAGCCCATGTGCTGGGCCCCTTGGCCACAGACTCATGCATCTTCCCTCTCTCCTCACCAGACTTGTTCCAGCTGCCAAGAAGCCGGGGCCACCATCGGGTGCTGTCACAAGGGGTGCATCCACACCTACCATTACCCATGTGCCAGCGATGCAGGTAAGAGGCGGCCGGAGGGGACAGGAAGGCTCTGGAGCCTGTCCAAGCTGCCCAGGGGGACCCTGGGTGCAGTTCCTGGAACCCTGCCCCCTTGATCTCTCAGCCTCCTTCCTCTCCTGCCCCAGCGATTCCTTACCTCTTCATCTCTCTCCCTACCTGGACCTGTACTGGCAATGCTAGGGACCTGGAGATGAAACAGTCCCCAGCTACCTACTTGAGGAATGCCCAGGGCCATAAATTACAGGATGGAGAGCTGTTTGAGAGGCTGTCATTGCCAAGGTTGTTAGGGTGGAGAGGATCTCAGGCCTCAGAGAGGAAGGGGTTCTGGGGATGGGCCTTTGAAGGCTGAATAGAAGTTTATTGGGTAGAGAATAAGGGAAAGGATATATTTCAACAACAAAAGCTCAATGAGATGGGAGGAGATGAGGTTCAAAACAGACTGAGGCACAAAGCCACAGGGAACATTTGAAGGTTTTAAGCAGGACAGTGGGGTCTGGGAACAGGACCAGGCTTCCCCTGCATCCTTTCCCCCCATTATCTCCTGTCACTCACACATTCATTTGTTCCATGGGCATTTATTGAGCACGTACTAGCGGCAGGCTCACAGAAGGACTGATGGCCTGGGCCAGAGTGCCCCGGGATCCCTAGACCTCATTGGCCAGCCTCAGAGACATTCCTTATTTCATTGAAAGAAGGATATTGCTTATGGTAGAATTTTAGTCATTGATAAGGGCAGTATTTTAGGGGACTTTAGAGGAAGTTTGGGTGTGGATTCAAACCCTGGTGGCATTCGTAATGTGTGGACTTGGGCAAGTCCGTGATGTCTCAGCATTCAGTTCCCCCTCTGTAAAACGGAGATGGTAATCCCTTCTTTCCGCAGCTTTGGAGCAGGAGTGAACGAGTGGATGCTGCCCAGGAGGCACAGCCCCAGCCCTGTTCTGGGGCCAGCTCTCGGACCTGTCCCCCTCCCCCTGCTCCCCTGGCCTCCCTCCTCTGGCCTGGTGAGGTCACCATGTCCCTGCCTCAGGTGACAGAGCGGAGATGTCTCCCAGCAGGACCCCCCCACCGTTCCCTGCTCCCTGCCTGCCTGTGTGGTCCTTGGCCAGCGTCAGCCCCTGTTGGTGCCCCCAGGAGTACACACGGGTCTCTGAGCGGTGACAGTCCTTGGCAAGAGCCGTGCTGTGAGCACTGCAGGGAGGGCTGCCTGGAGCGGGGACATGGGGGCTCTTGCTGGCTCCACCCTCCCACTTGCTGAGCAGCATGAGCCAGATTTCATGTGGACTCAGCCACTTAACCATACACGCGGCCTTACCCCCAGTAACAGCCACCACAAGGCACATCCTGCTTTCTGAAGTAATTCAGCACCCTCTCTGTGCCAGGCCCTGCATCTGGCCCCTGCACTATCTCCAGTTGCATCTTTACAGATAGGCTGCCACGCCCGTGGCTGTGCTGAGCACATGGACAGATGAAGGGCGTGACTCCCTGTGTGGCTTATTCCACATCTGGTGCTCTCTCTTCCACCCCAGCACTGTCTGGCCTCCCGGGGGGCTTACATTTGAGTGGAATAGACTGGAAAACTGTGATCCTTCCCCAAAATTATAGAGACCAGACAAGGAGAGAGTGTGTGCTGTGGGAGAATCTTCCTGTCAGATCTGGGGGTGATCCCAAAGGACTTCTAGGAGGAGGCAACATTGGAACCGGTCCTTGGAAGATCGGGGATGGGCAGCAGCTGCTAGGTGGTGAAGCATATACCAGGCTTGGAGTAATACAACTTCTGTTTCTGTTTCATATGAGGCCTAGGAAGGACTCCCCCATCAGCAATGCTGTAGGGCCCCAGAGATTGCAACAGAAAGGGTCCTGGAGGCAGTGAACATGATACCAACTGTCAGAGTGGGGTTTTTCAAAGAGCTGTCGAGCTCTGCAGCTGTCCAGGCATGACAGGAGGGCTGCCAGGTGCAGACAGAGGCTGCACGCCAGAGGCTTTGCTGGCACAGAATGCACAGGCCTTGGTGGAAGGCATGAGGGAGGGAGGCGTTGAGCCATACCCCACTTTCCCATTGGGGGGGCCAGTCCAAGGCAGGCAAGGGTGTGTGGGTAGTGTATTAGCTGCTGCTGCTTAGCTACAGGTTCTTCTGTGCCCTGCTTTGTGGCTTAAACACCAGTCCCTCCTTTTCCTCCTGAGGGCCTGGGTTGGATGGCAGGCTCTGCCCCTCTGGCCTGGTGTGGCTGGCCTCGCACAGGTGGCTGTGGCCAGCGGCCAGGTCAGCTGAGGCAGGGTGATGATCTCAGGGCCCCAGCTAGGCAGCTCCTCTCTGCTCCATGTGGTCTCTCATCACCCACAGGCCTAGGCCTGGGACCACGCAGCTGACCAGGCCTAGTCCCTGTCCAGCCCAGGCTCACAGGGTGGGAGTGCGTGCCCCCTCTTTTCTGAACTGGAGAAGCTTCAGAGCCACATTGCAAGGGATGGGGTTCAGGTCGGGGGCTTGGAGCCATTTCAGCAATCCGTCCACCACACACGGCAGCTTCCCTGTGGACAGGTTGCATTTGAGGCCTGTGCAAACACAAGGGGAACTGTCCCAGCTGAGCTCAGGACAGAGACCCACTGGCAACCAGCTCAAGGGGTTGTCAGAGCCCTGGATTGAATGGTGTGCAAGGAGCAGGCACCACCATCGAACAGCTGGCAGAGGAGGAGGGGGTGGAGCACTGAGCAGCCAGGGAGCTGCAGCCAGAAAAGGTGGGAGAACCAGAAGGCCTGGCAGCCAAAGGTGAGGGAAGACAGGGCTTCTGGCAGCAGGGCGGGCTGGCTGCAGCTCCTCTGGCCAGGCAGCAGGGGTGAATGGAGGACCGGAGCTGGGCAGGCCCATCCCGTGTCTGGCAGGCAGGAGCCCCAGGCCTTTGGCAGCACCTTGCTCCCACCCAGCCAACCCTTGGGGCTGCCAGTGGGGGTCTGAGGGGCTCTCCAGGCATCTGGGCTAAGCCCTCAGAACCCAGGGCACCTGGGGTCCCCCCTCTGCACTCCCTGGCCACCCGTGCTTACTAACCCTGTCCCCACCCTGTGTGGAGCAAGCACCGTGCCTGGGCTGAGCAGGGCCTGGGAGGGTTGGCTGAGGCCCACATGCCACAGTGTCCTGTCGGCCTGTCCACACGCAGGCACCAGGGCCTCTCTGCCAGCTAGGTCCCAGGTGCTCCAGGTGCAGACACCAGGAGGCGGCCAGGACGCGGAGGCCTGGCCCTTCCTCACGGCTCCCTCCCCACTCCAGTGTGGGTGCTGGGGGGCTGCTGAGCAAGCTGGCTTCAGAAGTGGCATCCCCCTACCTTTCACTTCCAGAGACCTAAGCCTTTGACTGCAGGGCCTGCAGTTAGGTGGCGGGGGGACACTGTGTATGCAGTGGGCCTGGGGTTTTGGCCCAGTGCTCTTTTGAAAGTGTGAGCTCAGTCCCAGAACTGTGTCTGGCTTGCCTGAGCATTCGGAAGGGGAAAACCTGATGCCCCGTCTCCAGCCTCTGGACCTGAGTGCAGAAACTCATGGGCAGTTTTCAGGCCTGAGGCCCCCAGCTTCTAGCAGGAGTAGGGTAGAGAAAGGGGGAGACAGCCTGTGAGAGGCCTGGAGCCTTCCCAGCCCTGCTCTCATGTTTGCAGATCTGCTTCTGCCTCCCCACCCTGCCTACTCGCCACCATGCTGTCCCAGTGCCACAGCACAAAGCCACTGCCAGCAGCCTCAGCCTCAGTGTGAGCAGGAGTAATGTGCTGGAAGGAGAGCACTTGCTTGGCCAGCTGGGCCTCCAGCTATTTGTGGGTTTGGGATTTGTTCAGAACAATGATCAAGGAGGCATAAGAGGGAGGGAGATGAGCTGGAAGGGGACTAGGGGGTAGTGGGTGGGGACTCCAGGGCCTCCCTAGGTGGCAGCAGAGTGGGAACCTACTGAGACATCAGTGTACCCCTGGGCCGTGGCAGGCATTCAGGACTGGCCATGCGTACTCATCCCCTCCTCTGCTCCTGGCTCAGTGCCCCGAGCTCTCAAATACCTGCTGGGATTCATTCAGACTGGAGACCTCAGTCCCCTCCTCCATGGCTGCTTCCCTCTCCAGGCCCCTGGAGGAACAAGCCTGTATCCTGAGTACCTACTGGGACCCGCACACATGCATGTGGTTCATATGCACAGTCCTCATCAGTCCCCACAATAGACACACAGTAGATAGCATGACACCCGTTTACAGATGCAGAGCCCAGGCCTCAGAGAAGTAGCTGGCTCAAATCCTGACCATGCCTGAGCAGCAAGGCCTCCTCCTAAGGGCTGACACGCATCCAGGAAAGAAGGTGAAGCTGGTGCCCAGAGCTGGCCTTCCAGTGGGGCAGAGACCACTAGGAGGTAGTGACAAGTATGGCCAAAATGCGGCAGGGGGATGGGGAGAGAGGCTGGGGAGGGGCCTGCTATGGGCCAGGGAGACGGAGTTCCAGGCACAGGTGAGCAGATGAGCCATGGGGCTGGAGGGCAGGTGGAGGCAGAGGGCCACTCAGCCCGGATGGAGTTTGAATGGCAGAGGATCTCAAGCAGGGGCTGACTGACTGAGCGGAGCCCCTGAAGCAGGGGGCAGAGGGCCCTCCCCTCCTGGCCCCTGAGATCACCTGTGACGGTCCTAACCAGCTGAAACTCTCTTTGGCCACAGGTTGCATTTTCATCGAAGAGAACTTTTCTTTGAAATGTCCCAAACATAAGGTAGGCAAGCACAAGCCTCCCCACTCACTGCCCACCTTCCAGCAAGGCCGTATTATTCGTGGTTAACCAGTGGCCTTTGGGGCAGGTGGACACACGCGGGTCCTAAAGACTGCTTTATAAACCAGGCAGCTCTTGATGGGGGCCATCCCAGTGGAGGACAGGGAGGGCAGGAAGGGGCACAGGATGGTGGGCACGGAGGCGAGGTGGCAGGGTGGGGGCTAGAGAAATGGAAAAGCCCGAGGCGGGGTCCGCACAGTCCCCAGCTACCTACTTGAGGAATGCCCAGGGCCATAAATTACAGGATGGAGAGCTGTTTGAGAGGCTGTCATTGCCAAGGTTGTTAGGGTGGAGAGGATCTCAGGCCTCAGAGAGGAAGGGGTTCTGGGGATGGGCCTTTGAAGGCTGAATAGAAGTTTATTGGGTAGAGAATAAGGGAAAGGATATATTTCAACAACAAAAGCTCAATGAGATGGGAGGAGATGAGGTTCAAAACAGACTGAGGCACAAAGCCACAGGGAACATTTGAAGGTTTTAAGCAGGACAGTGGGGTCTGGGAACAGGACCAGGCTTCCCCTGCATCCTTTCCCCCCATTATCTCCTGTCACTCACACATTCATTTGTTCCATGGGCATTTATTGAGCACGTACTAGCGGCAGGCTCACAGAAGGACTGATGGCCTGGGCCAGAGTGCCCCGGGATCCCTAGACCTCATTGGCCAGCCTCAGAGACATTCCTTATTTCATTGAAAGAAGGATATTGCTTATGGTAGAATTTTAGTCATTGATAAGGGCAGTATTTTAGGGGACTTTAGAGGAAGTTTGGGTGTGGATTCAAACCCTGGTGGCATTCGTAATGTGTGGACTTGGGCAAGTCCGTGATGTCTCAGCATTCAGTTCCCCCTCTGTAAAACGGAGATGGTAATCCCTTCTTTCCGCAGCTTTGGAGCAGGAGTGAACGAGTGGATGCTGCCCAGGAGGCACAGCCCCAGCCCTGTTCTGGGGCCAGCTCTCGGACCTGTCCCCCTCCCCCTGCTCCCCTGGCCTCCCTCCTCTGGCCTGGTGAGGTCACCATGTCCCTGCCTCAGGTGACAGAGCGGAGATGTCTCCCAGCAGGACCCCCCCACCGTTCCCTGCTCCCTGCCTGCCTGTGTGGTCCTTGGCCAGCGTCAGCCCCTGTTGGTGCCCCCAGGAGTACACACGGGTCTCTGAGCGGTGACAGTCCTTGGCAAGAGCCGTGCTGTGAGCACTGCAGGGAGGGCTGCCTGGAGCGGGGACATGGGGGCTCTTGCTGGCTCCACCCTCCCACTTGCTGAGCAGCATGAGCCAGATTTCATGTGGACTCAGCCACTTAACCATACACGCGGCCTTACCCCCAGTAACAGCCACCACAAGGCACATCCTGCTTTCTGAAGTAATTCAGCACCCTCTCTGTGCCAGGCCCTGCATCTGGCCCCTGCACTATCTCCAGTTGCATCTTTACAGATAGGCTGCCACGCCCGTGGCTGTGCTGAGCACATGGACAGATGAAGGGCGTGACTCCCTGTGTGGCTTATTCCACATCTGGTGCTCTCTCTTCCACCCCAGCACTGTCTGGCCTCCCGGGGGGCTTACATTTGAGTGGAATAGACTGGAAAACTGTGATCCTTCCCCAAAATTATAGAGACCAGACAAGGAGAGAGTGTGTGCTGTGGGAGAATCTTCCTGTCAGATCTGGGGGTGATCCCAAAGGACTTCTAGGAGGAGGCAACATTGGAACCGGTCCTTGGAAGATCGGGGATGGGCAGCAGCTGCTAGGTGGTGAAGCATATACCAGGCTTGGAGTAATACAACTTCTGTTTCTGTTTCATATGAGGCCTAGGAAGGACTCCCCCATCAGCAATGCTGTAGGGCCCCAGAGATTGCAACAGAAAGGGTCCTGGAGGCAGTGAACATGATACCAACTGTCAGAGTGGGGTTTTTCAAAGAGCTGTCGAGCTCTGCAGCTGTCCAGGCATGACAGGAGGGCTGCCAGGTGCAGACAGAGGCTGCACGCCAGAGGCTTTGCTGGCACAGAATGCACAGGCCTTGGTGGAAGGCATGAGGGAGGGAGGCGTTGAGCCATACCCCACTTTCCCATTGGGGGGGCCAGTCCAAGGCAGGCAAGGGTGTGTGGGTAGTGTATTAGCTGCTGCTGCTTAGCTACAGGTTCTTCTGTGCCCTGCTTTGTGGCTTAAACACCAGTCCCTCCTTTTCCTCCTGAGGGCCTGGGTTGGATGGCAGGCTCTGCCCCTCTGGCCTGGTGTGGCTGGCCTCGCACAGGTGGCTGTGGCCAGCGGCCAGGTCAGCTGAGGCAGGGTGATGATCTCAGGGCCCCAGCTAGGCAGCTCCTCTCTGCTCCATGTGGTCTCTCATCACCCACAGGCCTAGGCCTGGGACCACGCAGCTGACCAGGCCTAGTCCCTGTCCAGCCCAGGCTCACAGGGTGGGAGTGCGTGCCCCCTCTTTTCTGAACTGGAGAAGCTTCAGAGCCACATTGCAAGGGATGGGGTTCAGGTCGGGGGCTTGGAGCCATTTCAGCAATCCGTCCACCACACACGGCAGCTTCCCTGTGGACAGGTTGCATTTGAGGCCTGTGCAAACACAAGGGGAACTGTCCCAGCTGAGCTCAGGACAGAGACCCACTGGCAACCAGCTCAAGGGGTTGTCAGAGCCCTGGATTGAATGGTGTGCAAGGAGCAGGCACCACCATCGAACAGCTGGCAGAGGAGGAGGGGGTGGAGCACTGAGCAGCCAGGGAGCTGCAGCCAGAAAAGGTGGGAGAACCAGAAGGCCTGGCAGCCAAAGGTGAGGGAAGACAGGGCTTCTGGCAGCAGGGCGGGCTGGCTGCAGCTCCTCTGGCCAGGCAGCAGGGGTGAATGGAGGACCGGAGCTGGGCAGGCCCATCCCGTGTCTGGCAGGCAGGAGCCCCAGGCCTTTGGCAGCACCTTGCTCCCACCCAGCCAACCCTTGGGGCTGCCAGTGGGGGTCTGAGGGGCTCTCCAGGCATCTGGGCTAAGCCCTCAGAACCCAGGGCACCTGGGGTCCCCCCTCTGCACTCCCTGGCCACCCGTGCTTACTAACCCTGTCCCCACCCTGTGTGGAGCAAGCACCGTGCCTGGGCTGAGCAGGGCCTGGGAGGGTTGGCTGAGGCCCACATGCCACAGTGTCCTGTCGGCCTGTCCACACGCAGGCACCAGGGCCTCTCTGCCAGCTAGGTCCCAGGTGCTCCAGGTGCAGACACCAGGAGGCGGCCAGGACGCGGAGGCCTGGCCCTTCCTCACGGCTCCCTCCCCACTCCAGTGTGGGTGCTGGGGGGCTGCTGAGCAAGCTGGCTTCAGAAGTGGCATCCCCCTACCTTTCACTTCCAGAGACCTAAGCCTTTGACTGCAGGGCCTGCAGTTAGGTGGCGGGGGGACACTGTGTATGCAGTGGGCCTGGGGTTTTGGCCCAGTGCTCTTTTGAAAGTGTGAGCTCAGTCCCAGAACTGTGTCTGGCTTGCCTGAGCATTCGGAAGGGGAAAACCTGATGCCCCGTCTCCAGCCTCTGGACCTGAGTGCAGAAACTCATGGGCAGTTTTCAGGCCTGAGGCCCCCAGCTTCTAGCAGGAGTAGGGTAGAGAAAGGGGGAGACAGCCTGTGAGAGGCCTGGAGCCTTCCCAGCCCTGCTCTCATGTTTGCAGATCTGCTTCTGCCTCCCCACCCTGCCTACTCGCCACCATGCTGTCCCAGTGCCACAGCACAAAGCCACTGCCAGCAGCCTCAGCCTCAGTGTGAGCAGGAGTAATGTGCTGGAAGGAGAGCACTTGCTTGGCCAGCTGGGCCTCCAGCTATTTGTGGGTTTGGGATTTGTTCAGAACAATGATCAAGGAGGCATAAGAGGGAGGGAGATGAGCTGGAAGGGGACTAGGGGGTAGTGGGTGGGGACTCCAGGGCCTCCCTAGGTGGCAGCAGAGTGGGAACCTACTGAGACATCAGTGTACCCCTGGGCCGTGGCAGGCATTCAGGACTGGCCATGCGTACTCATCCCCTCCTCTGCTCCTGGCTCAGTGCCCCGAGCTCTCAAATACCTGCTGGGATTCATTCAGACTGGAGACCTCAGTCCCCTCCTCCATGGCTGCTTCCCTCTCCAGGCCCCTGGAGGAACAAGCCTGTATCCTGAGTACCTACTGGGACCCGCACACATGCATGTGGTTCATATGCACAGTCCTCATCAGTCCCCACAATAGACACACAGTAGATAGCATGACACCCGTTTACAGATGCAGAGCCCAGGCCTCAGAGAAGTAGCTGGCTCAAATCCTGACCATGCCTGAGCAGCAAGGCCTCCTCCTAAGGGCTGACACGCATCCAGGAAAGAAGGTGAAGCTGGTGCCCAGAGCTGGCCTTCCAGTGGGGCAGAGACCACTAGGAGGTAGTGACAAGTATGGCCAAAATGCGGCAGGGGGATGGGGAGAGAGGCTGGGGAGGGGCCTGCTATGGGCCAGGGAGACGGAGTTCCAGGCACAGGTGAGCAGATGAGCCATGGGGCTGGAGGGCAGGTGGAGGCAGAGGGCCACTCAGCCCGGATGGAGTTTGAATGGCAGAGGATCTCAAGCAGGGGCTGACTGACTGAGCGGAGCCCCTGAAGCAGGGGGCAGAGGGCCCTCCCCTCCTGGCCCCTGAGATCACCTGTGACGGTCCTAACCAGCTGAAACTCTCTTTGGCCACAGGTTGCATTTTCATCGAAGAGAACTTTTCTTTGAAATGTCCCAAACATAAGGTAGGCAAGCACAAGCCTCCCCACTCACTGCCCACCTTCCAGCAAGGCCGTATTATTCGTGGTTAACCAGTGGCCTTTGGGGCAGGTGGACACACGCGGGTCCTAAAGACTGCTTTATAAACCAGGCAGCTCTTGATGGGGGCCATCCCAGTGGAGGACAGGGAGGGCAGGAAGGGGCACAGGATGGTGGGCACGGAGGCGAGGTGGCAGGGTGGGGGCTAGAGAAATGGAAAAGCCCGAGGCGGGGTCCGCATGGGCAGCGGCTCAGGTTGAGACCGGGCCTCTCGCGGGGTGGAAACTAATTGACCTCTTAAGCCCATTCCCCCGTCGTCAGTGAAGGACTTGGCCGCCGCCTCCTCTCTTGCAGCGGCTGCCCTTGTAATACATCCCAACCGCCAGAGAAGCCTCCGGAGCCTGCCGCAGAAGAGGAGCCGCCTGCGCAGCTCCCGGGCCTTTGAGCTGCTCCCCGGCGCGGGTCCAGAGCCGATCCTTGATCCGGATTCCGGGTCTTGGATCTGGCCGCCTAGGGCAGAAACTCCGCGGTCCCGGGTTAGGAAGAAAACACGTTCCAGAGCCGCCTGCTCCAGGAACTGGACGACACTGGGCGTACCTGCCCATATTCCCGGGACTCTGTTTGGAGAGGGGGAACCTGCGGAGCTACCAGACTCCATGGGGCACCCAGGCCCGGGCAGGGTGGGAGAAGCCTTTAGCCTCGGGGCACGATTCTCGCCTGGAAGTTTCGAGAAGACATGGCACACATTCCACGTGGATGTTGCCGCCAGCCCCGTCGGTCGAGGCCCGCAGCTAGCATCCCGTGGGGTGGGGTAGGGTGGGGTCCAAAGGGCCCTGGAAGAGGCCGAGGGCGACTCCTGCCTCGTCGAACTTGGCGGTGGTTGGGGAGGGAGTCGAAGCCTTCCTGGAGAGGACTAGGCTGGCCAGGGACGAGGCCGAGGGCTTTGGAACAAATCATTTGGATCGCGCCTGAACACCCTTCCCACCCATCCTTTGCCAAAACTTTGGTGCGGTTTGACCAGAGCCAGGGGAGTGCGGGGCCTGGGCCCATGTTCAGGGGATGCAGGCTCCCCGGGTGTGGGCAGGACGGGGGGGGATATCCCTTTGGCTTCTGTTCGTCCCCTTCCCAGCTCTCGACCCCACCCCTGGAGTTCAGCCCGGGAGCTCAAAGGAAAGGAGTAGCGAACAGCGCACCTCCGGCGGTTACGTGATTATCCCTCTGCAGGGCCACCCCGTCAACGAGGACCGCAGCGCCCTCCCGGCACTGGGGCAGAGACAGCGCTAGATTCGTGTACAAACCTGTGTACCCCTCTATATATATGTTACATAGAATGTATATATGTTGGGAACATGCTCGCTTCTCCCGTGTGTCGCTGCTGTGCGTCGTGCACCCCTCAGCACGGGGTAATTGCCGGGTAGGGGTCTATGGGCGATGCCCCCCTTCCCCACGTAGCCACCACCGGCCCAGGCCACTCCCCTCCAGTTCGTCTGCCTGTCTGTCCGTGCCCTCAGCTCTGTCCACGCTTTGATAGGCCTGATGCAGCCCCCAGACCAGGCCACCCTAGCAACTTCCTGTACATACGACTGTAAAATGGTAAACGTGTGTATTATATCTGGCCTCGTTATATAGTGTATATATATGTATACATATACATATATATAATATATATGAAAGACTGTAAATGTTAAGACTAGTGTTCTTATTAGTATATTGCTTCACACTGAAGATTGTGTGTATCGAGCTGTTTCTAAAAGATGTTTATTTTCCTTAAGAGTAAAAAAACAGTCATTGCATTCAGAAAAAAAGTCAATAAAGATACAACGATTGTTTTGGAAGTCTGCAGCCCATGGATTCTGACCAGATTCTGCCAGGAGAGGGGACCAGGCTTTAGGTGGAGGGTGGGAAATGGTGGGAGCACACAAAATGGGGAGTCAGGATTCTGGTGGTTACTATAGAAAAAGACCCCCCACCCTCACCTGGCCATGGAGCCTCAAGGTTTCAGGTGGGGAGGGGCAAGGTTTCCTCCGGTGTGAGATGGGGGAAGGAGGGAGGCGAGACACCCCAGACAAATAAGAATGCCAGCTGTACCCCCTATCACAACTGACCCTTAAGAACACCGAGTCATCCACCCACATCTTCCTGGGAGCTGATGGGGTAGAAACTGGGAGGTGAGAAGGAACAACTAAAGCCATAACCACCCTAAAGTGTAAGGGCTGATACTGCCCAACCCTGCTGCTCAGAGACCAGTGGGATTCAGGTGAGCTGGATACTATCACCAGAGTAGGTCCTACTGCCAGGCCTCCATAACCCTGGATCAGGGAAATGTCACACCTTGTGGTGGGTGGGGGTGGGGAGCCTCTGCCTGGGTGCTGGGAAATGGCCCACAAGAGCTGAAACACACACCCTCTCCCCAAAGAACAAAACCCAGATTATAAATAATTTTGTTTTTTTATTCTCTGTACAAAACTTATCAACCTATGAAAATAAAGTTTGCAGAAGAATAAAGTAACACTTGGGTCTCAGGCCAAGACGCTGGCAAGCCCTGATCTACTTATGCACAGGTCTCCGGAAAGGAAGAGGTGCCAGGGAGCTAGGACCCCTTGCTGGGCAGGAAAGTCAATGCGGCCCCCTTCAGCACAGTGAACTGTACCTCTCTCTATACAGGAGAGAAAAGCGACAGGGTGTCTGCCAAGCCAGGAGGTGACTGACACCAGCCAGCCCGGGCCCTGCAATCCCCTGATCGGCCACCAGAGACCAGCACCATCCTGACCGCCACTAGTAGGGTTAGGGAGCAGGTGGAGGTGGTGGGGTCACGCCCCCTGCAGCCTCCCAGGTCACGAGGCAAAAGCCCCAGAGGGTCTCCCATCCCCGTGGAGTCAGTGGAGTCCGTGGGTGGACCGTGGACACTGCGGGCTCCAGGGCTGCTTTGGCACCGCATTCAGGCGGAAGGGCGCTGAAGTGGGTGCCACCGGCGGGGATTTAGCTGGAGGTGACTGTGGTCCCGCCGCCCAGGCGCATGAGCATCTGCTGGCAGTCGTGCAGCAGTCGGCGATCGCCAAGCTTCTCGAGCGTGCGCGCAGCCTCGGCCAGCATGCCTACACGCTGCCCTGGTGCCGATAGGAAGCCAGGTGGCAGGTAGCAGGAGGCGAGGAGCAAGGCCTCTGCATGCTCCCGCCGGGTGGGCCTCGGCTCCAGATCTGCCGCACCTACGCAGAAGGGGCAGTGTAAGGGGCGGGCCACACAGGGCAGGATCCTACTGCAGTCTCAGGTACACAGGTGGGGCCTTGGACGCCTCCCCAGAGCCTGTCCCACAGACCAGACTCAGGAACGCAGGTGCAACAGTCCCTATCCAAAATGGCAGTGGCCCCACTAGATGTTTCCATCAGGTCTCCACCACAAAGACCCTTGGTCTCTTTTAAACACAGCGTCCATCACACCCTGTCGGGCCCTTCCCGCCTGGGCCCAAAGCCCCATACCCCTGCAGGACTGCACCTCTCACCTCCCTTGCTACAGGGGCCTGCCCTCCGCCTCAGACTGCGGTCCAGGAGCTGGTGTGTCCGCGTGGGGCTGGCCCCTGCCATCAGCCGGGCTGTGGCCTCATGCAGAAACACCTGGGCAGAAGGGCAAGAGTTGGGGCTCAGACCAAATCCCCCACTCTCCCCCCACACCTCTGCCTTAAGTCCCCACTGGGAGGTAAGGGGCCCGTGAGCACTCACCCTCCGCATGGCAGGCCGGAAGTTCTGTGCCAGACGCCTCAGGCCACTCAGGTCCCGCTGGAAGCCATGCAGCTCAAGGGCAGAGGCCTGGGCCCCACCACCCAGGCCCTGGGAAGCCTGGGCCAGTGCAGGAGGTTGCTGTTGTCGCCACAGGCTAGTACGCACCACAAGGAGCAGGTCACACAGGAAAAGCTGCATGGCCTAGGGGTGGTGGGCAGGGCACGGTGAGGGTCACAGGGGCTCCAGCTCTGGAGAGGGGGAGGTTGGGGGCCCGCAGTGCCCAGGGCCAGCTCCGGGCTGCACTGCCGAGGCACTGCGCCTGCCTCACACGCGCAATGCACCAGCAATGCACCGCGGGACCGCCCACCTCTCTGGGCCCCCACGCCTGCCACCTGCCATGAAGCAACCTCCAAAGAGGGCCCTGCCGCACAGCTCACCACACCCCTCCTGGCAGTGCAGAAACGGAGGCCAAAGGGGATGCGCCACTCTCCCATGGATACAAGCTTTAGCCAGAAAGCAAGGCCAGCTGGACCCCCCGTCCTGTGCAGCTAAGCTGACAGTCTTCTGTAGCCCAAGAGGGAATGTCCAGGGAATGCAAAGGCTGTGATTCCCCAGACCTGCCAGGCCCCTGGCCCAACCCCTTACCTTGTCAATGGAGCTGCCAGCTGGTGTCGTGGCAAGGCTATCCTGCATGTACCCACTGGCCTTCTCACAGATGGCCAGGCTGGCCGAGCCAGACTCTGCCTTCCCACGGCCCAGCAGGGAGCGGGCAGCCTTGAAGGAGTGCAGAGCTGCCCTAGGCAGGGGTCTCCTGTTGGAACCAAGGCAGAGGAGTGATGGTCAGACCAGGCCACAGGCTGTGACTGAGCTCCCTGCCGCTCTGGCTCGGACTTTCCGGGGAAGAAAGGGACCCAAGCACACAGAACAAAGGCTGGGAGGCTGCATGGTGCTGGGGGCCAGGAGAACCTGGCCTGAACTCACTCAGACTCCTGCAATGCACGCGGCAGGTGCTCCACCAGCGGGTAGAGCCGCTCAGCAGCCTCCTCATCGCGCCGCAGCCAGTGGATCACCACAGCCGTCAGCGAGGCCCACCACTTGGCCACAGGGTCTGTGCCTGCAGAGAATGGGGCGGGGGGGGGCTCCCTGAGATGCAGTGACACCGCACCTGAAGCTGAGCTGATTCAGAGCTGGGACTGAGCAGGGAGTCACAGGGCAGGGGCCTGGGAGCTCACCAGTGGTAGCAGCCAAGCTGGAGCTGACAGAGAAACTGCAGGCAGGAGCCCCAGCGGCTTCACAACAGCTGTTCAGCAGCTGCAGGTACCCCAGGGCATCTGAGAAGCCCCTGTGTCAGGAGAGGGCTGGCTGTCAAGACAGGTGGCACTGGCCCTCCTCACCGCCCCACCAGAGCACAGCCCAGCCTCCTGGCTCTATGAAGTGCCACTGTCTCCTCCTACCAAGCTGGTGGGGAAACTGAGATCCCAAGAGGAACTGAGATGCACCTGAGGCCACAGAGTAGGTGCACGAAGCCTGGCTGGCCACCTACACAGGTCCCTGGACATAGCCATTCCCAGACTCCACCATGGAAGGTCCTTGCTTGGTGGGAGCTCAGGGACACTCACTTGTCCCCATCAGCTGATCCAGGGCTGGGACTGGGCTGGGCCACACAATTCAGTGCTCGCTCCAAGAGATGTTCACGGAAGAGCTGAGTCACCTGGGCCAGGGGGTCCACTGTGGGGAGGAGTAGGTGTGTGGGGTGGTGGGAAGGCCCCCCACCATATTCACCCCTCTACACTGAGGGCTCTTTCCTGGGCACATGGTGGGTTAGGCTCTGTGACAGATGAAAGCTGGTGGGCAAATCCTCCACCCTTGCCCTTGGATGGGATAACTGACCTAGGATAGTGCGATCTACTCGGTAACACGCCCTCCTCAGCTCTGTCCCTTCCCTGCCTGACCTCCTGGCAGCACACTGGGGTTGCCTGGGATCGCTGCCCAGATCAACCACCTGCCCCCAAACCCGTCTCCCCGCTCACTTCTGAAGAGCCCAAAGAGACAGAGATCCAGCAGGGCCTGCTTGTTCCCGCAGCCCCAGAGCAACAGTGGATGGTGGAGCAACAGGCCGGGATGGGCAGGGACATCAGAGATTCAGGGGACAAGGAACAGGACAGAAACAAAGATGAGGAATGGAAATGGGGGACAAAGGATGGGATGGGAACAGGGGTGAGACACAGGGGTGAGAGAGCACCTGGGTTCCTGGCCAAGCTGTACAGGCTCTCCCGTGGGGCACTGCACACAGCCCAGTCTCCATCCACAAAGAAACGGTGGCCCACAGGGTGGCAGATCCATTGCATGGCAAGAGGCACTGCACCACTCTGTGCCAGGCAGGCCTGGCGGGCACCACTCAGAAAGAAGCGCTGTGGGGGTGAGGGGAGGAGCTGGGCTGTCACACTGGACCAGGCAGGGCTCAGACCAAGACCCCAGCAGGGCCTGGAGCCCACCCATAACCAACTGCCTCATCTTGTGCAGCTCCCTGCCCAGGGAATATGGGTCAGAGCTACAAAGACAAGCCCCCAGCACCATTCCCACCAGCCCAACACACACTCACTGTCAGAAAATGCAAGGCCCTCGGGAGACTGGTCTTGACCCTCAGCGCAGCAGCCACATTGATCTCAGCCAGTGTCGCCACAGATACAGCATCTCCTGCACATTCCGCCAGGTTCAGGGCGCTCAGTGCCAGGTTGGTAGCAGAGAGGTGCCCGCCCGTGTACTTCCCTGGAAGATAGGCAGGCGTAAGGCTCGGGCATGTGCAGAGATGGCAGGAGCCCCATGGCCGCGCTTCGCACTCTGTACCCGTGGTGTGCAGCTGGTGCAGCTTGTGGTAGACAAGTGCCGCGTCCCGGGCGCTGGCATGGGCGTCCGCCTGCAGAGCACAGTCCCTCTGCAGACCCCCCGCCCGGCCTGCCAGCCAGCAGCCCACCCAGAGGTGCTGCAGCAGGTGGCGGATGAGGTTCCAGAGCAGGCTACAGGCCAGGTCCACATGGGAGGTGGGCAGCGGCCGGCCCAGTGCACGCAGGGCCAGCCACAGCTGCTGGGTGGCCTGGGCAAAGTCCCCCTGAGGACAGGGGTTTGCAGGTGAGGAAAGCAGAGTCAGAGCTTCCAGAGCCCACAGCACCCATCTAGCTCTGAAGAACCCCCCAACCCGGGCTCCCCACTGTGACCTCAGCGTCCCCCAGCAGCACTGGGCTGGACGCCCAGGAGTCAGTGGGAGTCTGAGGGGTAGATAAGGGTGGGCAGATTCATAGTGCCCATGAGGCAGGGAAGAGGAGGGGAGCCCAGCACCTGCCCAGGGGCCACCAGGGCACTCCCCCCACCCACCCCCCTTTCCCCGGGGGCTGCCCCTTACCCGGGCCAGGTCCAGGTCAGCCTGCTTGCGATGCCTCCAGAAGTGCACTGCAGGGCCTGAGTGGGGCCGTGTGACTGGCTCTCCATAGACGAAGAGGAATGCCAAGGAGACCAACACCAGCAGCCCATTCATCAGCCAGACCAGTGGGGGCAGCAGCCACAGGGCCCAACCAGGACCACCTGGGGACAAACAGATGGGCTGGGGACACAGCTCCCAGGAAGCCCTGAGCCCAAGCCCACAGGCCATGTCCTACACCTGAGTTCCCCTTCCCACCTCTCCCCCAAAGAAGCCCGTGCTGGCCTGTCTTACCTCTCCCCTCCATGCCCAGCATGTTGCGCCCAGGACTATGGTAGATGCTGGTGGCACCTGAGGGGCCAGGGGCACCCCAACTGCCCAGCAGGGAGGCCAAGGGATTGCAGGAGAGACAGAGGAAGACAAGAGTGCACAGGGCCAGGCGGGAGCGGTCCAGCATGCCCCGGCTGTGGGGGGACGTCAGCTTCACCTGGTGGGGATGGCAGGGTGATGAGGACAGCAGGAGTGGCCCAGAGCGCATTGCTCAGGGAAGGGTGGATGGGCACCCAACCAGCCTTACTAGCGGCCCCACATGGCTCCAGCCTCAGTTTTTCTGTCTATAAAATGGGAGGTGGGATACATTAGGGATCTATTTGTGACCCAGTCCTGGCGTTCAGAGGCTATCACTGGGAGACAGGTAGAGGCCATATGGCAGGGCCCAACCTGGCTGTCCTCAAAGACTGGGCTGTCAGGCTCCGAGTCACTGCCACTGCCACCACTCCTGCCGCCAAGGGACAAGGGACTGCTCTGTGAGGGTGAGCCTGCGTCCGAGGGCGGTGGGCTCAGTGTGTCCACCACCTCGGGCTTCGTGCTTCCCATGGGCACATCTGTGTTTCCTCCATTGCCACAGGCTGACACGAGCTCCTTCAATGATTCTGCAGGCCAGAACAAAGCAGGGCTGGGGGTGAAGGCTAGACACCATACCCCTAATCAGTTGGGGCCCTGGGAGGAGGGGCACTGGGAGTTGGCCCAGCTCCTGGGGACCTGGTTATAGCCAAAGGAGAAACTAAGGGTTAGGTCAGGACTTAAGGTGAGCCCAGGTGGGGCCAGAATGAAGAGCAGGGCAAGGCTGGAGGCCAGGCCAGAGCCAGGGGCAGGGAGGCCAGGACGCACTGCTTTCGTGGGCAGCAGTGCGCAGACTCAGGTTCTCCTGCTTGAGTTTCTGGTTGCTCAGCTGTAGGAAGCGGATGTAATCGATGGCCTTGCGCAAGACAGCAGATTTATTCAGCTGCAGGGGGCAGGAGGGAGATAGCACAAGGGCCTGTGAGGCTCGGCAAGTGGGCGCTGAAGCAAGGGGGGCCGGACTGCTTTGAAACAGGCTGCCTCAGGGCCTGGTACTTGCTGTTCCTCTGTGTGAGGTGTTCCTTGTAGAGGAACTAACTTGTAGAATCTAACTCCCAAGATGGGTGTAAGGACTGGTATATAAAATGCCTACAACAGTGTCTGGCCAACTGCTGTTATTATTACTGTCCTCATGCCTCACACTCCCTTACCTCTTTCAGGTCTTTGCTGATACATCCTTTGGGAGGACTTGCCTGCCTACCTGTTCCAGATTTACAGCTCTTATCACCCCTCTTCCTGCTTTACTGCCCCCCACAGCACTACCCTGTCTGGCTGCTTTAACACATACTTATCCTGTTTATTGCTCCCCCCTCAACCAGAACCTTAGTTTCTCAACAGCAGGATTTTTGTGTCTGCTCACGGCTGTATGCCCAGTGCCTGGCACACAGAGGGCCCACAGGTTTATCTGTATGAACAGCCAGGACCAAGGAGGCCGCAGCCCATGGCCCGACTGTCCAGACTCAGGCCCGATCCGTCTCTTCCTTCCAGCTGCCTCCTTTCCCCAGGGCTGCCTTGGTCCATGCCTCTGCAGGCCATTGCCCGCACCTTTGCCTCAGTGCCCACCACCAGGTCCTTGAGCTCGACGATCTTGTCATTGATGGAGGAGCGGTAGCGTTTCTCAATGGCATTGTGGGCTGTGCGCTTCTCACCACGGCTCTGGGATGAGCCCAGCACCTTACCGCCAGCTGCCAGCCGGTTGATGGGAAGCTTGTCAGCATCCACTACCAGTGGCACTGTCGCCAGGATGGTTCCACCACTCACTAGGGCCTGCAGGGCCAGGCACCGGTTACCAGGCAGGCATTCATGTGTGCAGGCCCCATGCCCTTCCTCCATACCCATGCCACCTACCTGCAAGGGTCCTGTCTGCACAGCTGTGCCAGGGGCCATGGAACTGACACCTGCCGCCTGCATGGCAGCTCCTGTGTCTGCTTTCATGGTTGCCAGGAGCACTGAGTCTGCCTTGATGAAGTGGGGCTGCAGCAGAACCTGGCAGTGGGAGAGGTCTCAGCGATGAGCTGGTGGTCTGGGCCAGGGATGCCACCCCCCCAACGCCTGGCCAGACCCCCTCACCGGGACCTGCTGGATCTGTGAGGTCACAGTGGTTGTTCCAGGGGCCACACTCTGGACTTGGGTGTGCAAAGAGACGGGCGGGACCCCCGGAAGGGAAGCCAGTGGCAGGCCAGGCAGCGGCTGCGGGGTGCTCCCTGGAGGGGTCCCTGCAGAGAGGAAGGCTGGGGCTGTGGGCACAGGCTGCCCTCACTCACTTTCAACCTGCCCTCAGATTCTTATCACTGTGCCATCTTGGATAAGTCATTTTACCCCTTGTGGCCTAGCTGGGTGGCCTCTGCTTGGGGCTCTGATGCAAATATCTCTAGAAGGGCAGCCCTGACACGGAAGCAATGGCACAGTGGGAGGCAATGTGTAACCTGATCATGCTAACCCAAGTACTGCCTGAAACGGGGGTCTCAGGAACAACGACCAGATTTCTAAAGCCTGCAATTCCTCCACTAACACCGCAGCAGACCCTTCTCCCTGCGTTCCTGCTGCTCCCCTCCCTCCACATGCCTCTTACCTGTGGACAAGCCTCCAGCAGGGCTGGCATAGCCCAACATGGGAGCAGAGCTGAACTGCAGTGGGGCCGGTGCCGGAAAGCTCTGGGGCAGGAGGGCCCCCGGCAGGGGTTGTGTGGCCGGGGGCTGCAGGATGGTCAGTGGCACTGGCTCTTCCTTGATACCAGGCCCCGGGGAGAAGGCGGGCACAGATGGGTACATCTTCAGTGGGGAGGGGGCGGGCTGGGGAGGGGACAAGGGTGGAGGTATCGCCTTAGGACTCCCCAGAAAGCCTTCGAGTGGGGAGCTCATCGTGGCAGGAGGTGGGGACAAGCTGCCTGGGGAGCTGGCATCAGGACTGGCAGGGTCTGTGCCCGCTGCTCTGCCCCCAGCATAGGGTGGGTCAAACAGGCCTGGGAAGTCACTGTCTTGGTTGTTGATGAGCTGAAGCATGTCTGGGGAAAGAAGAGGCTGTGTGAGTGGCAGCAGGACAGAGGCAGGAGCCAACCCCTGCACATGGCATCACACACTTACACGCCCCCTGTTCACACTGCTGTATGTGCGCAGGCAATGCCACAGCAACAGAAAGCCACCCACATAAGCCTGTGCTCGCAGACACGCAGCCTTTCTTGGGCCCCTGTGCCATCTGGAGCAATGCCTGGTGCTGCACCTGTATCACACAGGCCTTGCAACTGGACAAGGTCAGTGCTTTGCTGGGCCAAGGCTCCAGGAGGCCCATTATCTTGCCCCACACCCAGGCAGAGACAGAACGGGGGCTCGGGCCCAAGACTGCTGACTTAGAGCCGCCATCGCCAGCCCATTCCTCTGTAGAACAGACTGAGGCTTAAGGCAGAGCCAGCTGCTGGCCACACGTGTGCCAGCCAGTGTGTCTCTGCGTGTTCTGGGCATGCCCCGACTCTGCGTGCAGCCAAGTAACCTCAGACCTGGCCATTCAGGGCTTCGGTTTCCCCTCTGTAAAAGTGAATTGAATGCTGTCTGACTCCTTCCTCCTCATTACAGACTGGAATACACTCCCTGCCGCAGACCCAGCCTGGCCAAAGACCCTCTCCCCCAGCTGGTGACAAGCAGCCTAGCTGTGTCAGCCTGGGGCCCTTTACTCCACTGGGAAAAGCCACCCACTTGGTCAAAGTGCTCTGTAGGACCCTTGAGCACAACCCTGGGTCCCCAAGATCTCCTGCCTGAGCTTCTGGCCCTGCCCACCACCGACCCGAGGTGGGGCCTCTTGCGGGACAGTTACCTCATCAGTACACTAAACATCGGTCCTTTTTTGACAAGACTTTGCCCGGCAGGGCTAGTTGCATGAGAGGACTTAACAGTGTCCGACTCCCTCCTATGGACAGGTGCCCGGGCAGAAAAGTTACTGCAGGAGGGAACCTCCCTATGGCCTCCAGACAGTACACAGTGGGGTGCCCCGCTCAGCCTCCTGGGTTCCCATATAGAAAGGCTCTGTGGGCCCTCCAGGTTTACACAGGTCAGAAAGGCACTTGCAGGACCTCCCAGTCCTCTCGCCCTGCTCATGAGCCCCTTTGATGGGGAAACTGAGACCTGGAAAGAAAAAACGTTGAAACCAGGACTAGGATCCTGGATTTGAACAGTCCAGGGCTCCACTGGCTGTCTTGGGAGCCCAAGATGCCCCCACAAACGGGGGCCCCTGGAAAAAACAAGAGCAACTGGCCTGCCTCCTTGCTTCTTCCCCCTGGGCTGCATCGGGTGAGCAGAGGATGTGGGAAGGCCACCCTCTCACTGCAAGCGTTGTGATAGGGGTAACTAATTAGGTTGGGGGAGTGGTCCGCTAATGCCCATGAGAGCTGGGGATGGTACCCCTCCGCTGGGGAGCTGCCACAGCCACAGCACACATCTACTGCCTGCTCCGAGGAAACAGGAATAGCGACCCCGAAGCGGAGATGGAGGCTCTGTAAAAAAGAGGAAGGGGTCCTCCAAAGGTACCTTCGAACGTGCATTCCATGGCTCCGCGGCCTGCGCCCGCCGCCCCCTCGGGGCACCCAGGCGACTGGCCAGCCCGTCCCCGCACCACGCCGACTGTACCTGGCCGCGTTTCTCCGCGCTTTAAAGCCCGCGGAGCGCCCCGCCCCGCCCCGCCCCGGCGGCCGCGCCCCCGCCCCTCCCCCCGGGGTCGCGGGCCAGGCATGGGGTGAGCGCGCGCGGCCAATCAGCAGCCGCACCTCCGCCACACTAGGCACCGCCCAGCCGCCGCCCCTCCCCCGACGACGGCTCAGCTCTGGTTTCACCCCACGGCGCTGAATGGGGCCGGGGTTACTCGCGGGCGCCGGCTCTGAACCCGCTCGGCGCCGACGTCCGCTGGGGTTACTGGCGGTCACCCGTGTCCCCGCCCCACCAGCTCTCCCAGCTCCGTGACCACCTCCGAGAAGTGCCGCGGAGTGGGCGCGGGACGGGGAAAGCCTGGGCGGGGAAGCCCCAACGCCCCGGAGCTCTGTATGCGAAATCACTGGCTGGCTGACACCAGATCCGGCCTCCAACGCTCCAAGTCTCGGTTTACTCCTCTAGAAAATGGGACAATCATATTTCCTGGCACGGATGGGCGAAGTAAAGGAGATAAAGGGTGCAGTGCTCAGTACCAAGAAGGGCTTAATTAAAGCTAAGGGCTGCCTGGTGGTGGGTGTGCCCCAGCAGCATGCCCACACCTACCCCATGGCCCCTGGTAACAGGTCACTGGCGAGAAACTGAAGCTCAGAATGGACAAGAGAAATCCCTACCCCAAATTACACATCCAGGTAATCCCTGTCTCCTGACTCCCAGCGCAGATGCCCCTTTGCAAAGGGGCCTGGGTCTGGGACAGGGCTAGGGGGTCGGTTAAGTCTGCCCTGTGCCCCAAACTCTCACAGCCCCGTGGCAGTCACCAGGAGATGCCGAACTCACTCAGGCAACCCATGCCCGGGGCCAGCTGGTGAGGAGGCAGGGGTGTCAGCCCCAGGGTGACAGACTCTGGGGTCTTCGAGGAGGCACCTAGGCCTACCTTCCCTCCTGTGTAAGGTCAAAATTCAAGACAGGTGAACAGAGCCTGGCCAGCAGCCCAGTTGCCAGCTTGGGCCATTTTGGCCAAGCAGACCACCAGCAAGGCCCGCCCCTCTCCCACTCCCAGCCTCCTGCAGCCCTGGAGGGCTGCCGGATCCTGGACAGGCAGCACAGCCCCTGAGCAGACGCAGAAGGGGAGCCGGAGTTCTGGCTCCATCGCTCCCCCGCTCTCTCAGCCTAAACCAGCGGACTGACCTAGTCCCCTCCCACATCCCAGATCCCCTTTTCCCAAGCCTTCTTCCCACAGCCTTTTAGGAGGAGCCAAAGACAAGAGAATTCTGTTCTAGCACTACCCCCGCCCCTCCTCAGCCTGGGGTGCTCCCACTCTCCACCAGGCCCCAGAATACAAAGTGAACCCTTGCTGATGGAAAGGCCCCGACCTCACCCAGGTAGCTTAGGACAGAAGACCCAAGGCCTGAATTCCAGGCACACAGTTCAAAAGCAGCCGCTCCGGGCTGTTCTTTCTTACTGTGTTTCCCAGTACCTGATACTCACCTGAGACCTTGCAGGGCCAGGGCCAGTCAGCCTACAATGTCACCTGGGCCCCCTCCTGTTACTGCCTTCCTTCACTCCCCACATTTTCTTGCCTCTTTTTGTTTTCAATTTCTCACCTCTTTGTACTCTGCCCCAACCTAACCAGTCTGAGCAGGTAAGAGGGAGAAGATAGTCACTCGCTGACCCTCTGTGTGTAGCCGGAGTCAGGAAAGGCTTCCAGAGGACTGGCCTTGGCAGAGGTCACAGGCTAAGCCAAGATGCAGCAAGGGGCTCGGGTGCCATGAGGCTCCTGGTGGCATAAGGAAGGGCCAACCATCCCCTGAACTCACAGCCTGACCAGCACCATATCTCACTCTCCCCTGGAGCCACTTTCTGCAGAGGTCTGGTACCAGGGCAGAGACCAGGGGTGGAAATTTGCGAGCAAGCCCACAGCCCCCTCCCAACCCAGGTTTGCAGCCAAGGGGGCCACCTTCCCTCTGCCCTCACTTGTTGTATAATCACAGGCAGGTCATGCCCCCTCTCTGAGTACTGGGCTCCCTCGGAAGGGAAGGCACAGGTGCACTCCCTGAGCACAGGGATGAGAGGTGCAAACTCTCCCCACCTCATCTTCCCGAGTGGAGTCCATATTCTTCCTTTTTCCTCTCCTCCCTCCTCTCTGGCCCTGATTCCATCAGGACCCAACAGGAAACCTGAAACTCCCCTCCTGTCCTCCCTAGCTCTACCTTCAGGCCTCTCTCTGAAGACAGATGTAGGGCACCCTTTTATTCATTGGCCTGTTTATCCTGTGAGGCCCTGATGGAAATCCTACGAGGGCCCATGCCACGCACCTGAAGGAGCCCAGCTCTGACCGTGACAGAAGCCCCCAGCCCATCCAACCCGCAGGAGGCTTTGCCCCTGATAAACTCTGCTTGCATTTCTCCAGGGTAGGTAGGGTGCTTACCACCTCCCCCACATGGCCTGGGCAAGAAGTCCAGATCTGTTCCTGACAATATCTACCACACTTTCCTAAGTGTCTACTGTGTGTCAGGCCTGTGCCAGGCACTGGGGTACAGGGACACAGCACAAAGGCTGTGTCATGGAGGAATGTGAGTACAGGTGGTGGTGAGCACCATGAGGAAACTGAGGCAGAATAACATCGTGAGGGCCACTGCAGATGAGCTGGTCAGGCAGGCCTCTCTCAGAAAGTGGCATCTCATTAGGGGACTGAATGAAATGAGAGCAGAAGGAATAGCCAGCGCAAAGGCCTTGAAGTGAGAGGAAGCTTGGTGTGATATCAAGACAGCACAGAGGTCAGTGTGGCTGGAGCAGTGGCAGCAAAAGGGGGATGGAGGTCAGCGAGGTAGCCAAGGAGATGTGATGCCAGTCCAGGTTTGTCTGTCACCTGAGCCAAGGACTGGGGAGGAAAGGGATCTGCCAACTGTCCCATGCAATGCAGATCACAAAGGTTGCACAATTGTGAAGAATGGTAAACAATATATAGCAGCCCCACCACACAGGAGAACATGGGACATGGCTCCTGGGACCCGAGTGTTCTGCCTCTGCCTGCTTAATGAAAGGCACAGACTGGAGACAGGGAGCTCACCCAGCACTCTAGGGAGCCATGGCTACTCCCTGCCTGCCTGCCATCCCTGCTGCTCCCACCAGCGCCTCCTTGATCCACCTGAGGACTTGGGTCAGCAGGTGCATGTGTTCCCAGCTGGTCATGTATGTAACAGGGGCGCAGGCTGCACTTCATGTGCTATAGGCTGCCGGGGGCACAAGTATGGGCCAGCTCTTTCTGGAATGGGTTGGACCCATGGGTGGAGCCCCAGATGAACCTGGGCTTGGGACCACTAAGTATACAAGGAAAATAAGGCTCAGAGGGAGGCCCCAGGCCCAAGGTCCCACAGCTCCCAAGCAGAGAATCTGGGACTCAAACCCAGGTCTGCCAACCCCAGAGTTCACACTCGTAAGCCCAAGCCTGCCAAGGACAGAAGCAGCCCTGAGCTCCAGCCTGGCTCTGCCTCAACTTGTTGTCAGCACTTCCTGTCAGGTCAGGAAGTACGTTCAGAATTAAAGAGAGGAGGCAGCACAAAGCTCTTTCAGGATCAGCTCTGGCCCTGCCTCTTCTCAGAGGCCCTCCTGACCACCCTCAGAGGCCAAGCCTTGGCTGAGAGCCCCTCAGGGCAGGGCCAAGGCCTGAACCAGCTCTGGGGCCCCAGCACCCCTCAGCACAGGGCTAAGCACCAGGGTCGGCGGATGTTTGTAGTGCCAGCCACCACCTACTGTGATCTCCAGCAATCTGAGTCCCACTGCTCAGCTTTCACCACACCTCTTTCCCTGTCCACTTTCTGAATGTATCACACTATTTAATGCCGCCATGCATTTGCTAGGCTGTTTCTTCTGCCAGGAATGCCCTTCTCACTATCCTCCATTCACCTGACAAACTCCTCCCACTCTTCTTTCAAAATTTGTCTGATGTCACTTTTTCAGATCCTCACTAATCTATGCCATTCCACAAGCTGGCTCCCAATTAATCAGACCAAGTGACCCTGAACATGACCTGTAAAATGGCTATTAAACAAGATGCTGGTCAGCACCAGTTCCGACATCCTGTCTCAGGTGAGGGCTCAGGGCACACACTTACCATCTGGCAGCTGAAGAATGGCCTGATACAGTGGCATTTTGGGGATAGTCCCCTGCTGCTGGGAAACTGTTCCTAGTCTAACAGTAGTGCTATTTCTTTAGTGCTTTTATAGTAGTGACATTTCTTATATATAAATTACAATACATCTACATCCCCCTGAAACCTGTTTTAAACCTGAAATGGGTGTGTTGGTTCAAAGGCAGTATGCCGTTAGAGCTGCCAGGCTGCCCTCTAGAAAAGATAAATGCCTTTATGGCCTCCCCTGCAATGTGTCCCATTTCCTCTTAACATCACCAGCACTGAGTTTTATCATTTTTATTTACTTTTGGTTGAGTCCCTGGAACTGTGTAAGGGGAACCTCAAAAGTGCTTTAATTTGCATTTCCAAGGCTTCCTTGAGGTGTTTATGCAGTGAACTATCAACTGTGGACAGAGACTCAGAGACACCTGCTTCATTCTGGCCCTCCTCTGCCAGCTAGAAAGTGCATTTCCTAGCAGGCTCTCCCTCCTGGGAAGCAATCCCTGCTAGACCTGGCTTCCCAGTTCCTTCTCATGGGTCTGCTGTTTCTTCAGCTCCTCAGCTTGCCACTGGGCCTGGGCCACACAGACTGGGCAGGAAGGAGGCTGTGATGAGGCAGGTGTCTCCAGGCCTCCATTCCTCATCTGTACACTGGGTGAGGAGGTGTCAACAGCATTTCTAAGGTTCCTACCAGCTTGTCTCTTTGTCTTTAATGGTGGCTTAGGACAGGGTGCTCCCTCCCAAGGGGTGAGGTGGGGGCTCCCCAGTGGCCTTACCCAGCCCCACCTTGTTGCCCATGCAGAGACCCAGAACCACCAAATGCCTGATGCTCAGAACTTGGAACCACCATCCA